ACTCCAGCTAGGGCTGTGCATTAGGCTGTGGCGTTGCTACAAGATATATTGGCTCCTGTGATGCATAAGGCTTATAAACCACTGTAGCTATCATACTGATCTGCCACGGACCTCCTTTCTTGCATCCTGAACAGTCACCTGGGATGGGATATTCATGTGCTATCGATCCCTTGAATTGCATTGGTGCAAGAATATCCACAGAAAAGTAGTGACTGGCACCTCCCAGATGGCAAGTCATGATTCTTGTCCTATGTCCTTCTGAGAAAAGAGAACCAAAGTGTCTTACAAGATTGAAGGTTAAGTAGGATCAAAGATTATTTCTCAAGGCCCTATGGGACCAAATAGATACAATACGACATGAAAGACTAGAAAAAAAAATCATTAAATTCCTAGTGCCAACGAAAAAATATTTTACTTTAAAATTACAGTAAATAAAACATTTGCTATTATTAGAAAATAAAGAAGAAACATTTCCTTTCCTTGTTTCCTGGTTTCTGGTTATGGTTCTGAGTCATTCCTATACACAAGTTCCCATTAATTCCTGGGCCTGTGTATTGTTGGGTTTTTTTTGGCTCCTTTTTGGGGACCTGCCACCCAGCTCCCAAATAAATCACACACAGAGGCTTATTCTTAATTATGAACGCCCAGCCTTAGCTTGGCTTAGTTTTTAGTCAGCTTTTCTCAACTTTAAATTATCTCATATACCTTTAGCCTCTGGGCTTTTTCTGTTCTCTTACTTATGTAAATCTTACTTTTATTCCATGGCTTGCTGGTTGTGTAGCTGAGTGGCTGGCCCCTGGTGTCCTCCTTCTTTTCTGGCCGCTGGATCTCCTCGCTCCTCCATCTTTCTCTTTTTTCCTTTTCCCAGATGTCCCCTTCTCTATATATTTTCTCTGCCTGCCAGCCCCGCCTATCCTTTTTCCCGCCTTGTTATTGGCCAGTTCTTTATTAGACCATCAGGTGTTTTACATGGGCACAGTAACACAGCTTCATAGAGTTAAACGAATGCAACATAAACAAAAGTAACACACCTTAAACTAATATTCCACTGCACCTGTGCTTATTTGAAAGGGTAGCTAAGTGGCTATGCTTCTGTCTATCAATACCAAAAGATTTGGAGACCATCACGGCAATGGCATACAGGAATTAGCCACTGAAGCTCTCATGAATGTTAGGTGAGTCTCATATCTACAACATGTGCTGATATCATCACACTTTTTCTTACTTTTCTACCATCTCACTCTTTATGTTCACGCGTTCTCTCATTTCTCAGAGCTCATACACTGAGACTATCTTTTGAATAGCCTATCTTAGTTCTTCTTTCTCTGAAGTCTTTTTTTTCCCCAGAGTTCACCTCAGTTTTATCCCTCTGAGTGTCAACTGGCTCAAAATATCCTGGTCTAGCAATCCTCAAGGGCACTGACTGACTGACTCTTAGGTGGCAGATAAGAATCATGTTTGATGTCTGTGCTTTGTGCTCAGTGCCATTCTGGGGAGCAGAGCCTCTCACCTCACTGCATGACCTACATTATCTTCCAAGAACTTTAAAACAGCATAAGTGTTTGGGAAACTAGGTGGCATGGAATGAGAGGGCCTATTGAGTGAAAAGAAGGGGGCAGGCAGACAGAGAGTTATACACAGTCATATTTGATTTCAGGACAGAATAAAATTCCTAGAAAATGGACTCATCTATCAGGCTGCTCTCCAGAATGGTGACAGGAAATTCTGAATATCTCCTCTATCTTTTCCACGAACTTGCCCTGCTTTTCCATAACAAATCTCAGTGACTATTTCCCCCACACTACATATATAAGACACACAATGGTGGGAATGTCACTGTAACAAGTGAGGTACCCTCATGGGAAAGCAATTCCCATTTATTATTCATGCCCCAGGTACTGTGAATTCTGATCCTGAATATTTATTCTAGGAAGTTAAACCAACAAAACTACATATATGATTTAAAAACACCTGTGAAGATGACTTGACATTTGATAAGTGGTTGAACTATTAAAGACAAATACATAAAGTATGCATGTTGAATACAGCTTTGAAAACAAAAGCATATGGACAGGCACTAGGTTGAGAAGAATTTTGACAAGAGAGGTGTGCACAATATGCTGTATATCAATGACTCTTCAGTCATTATCTCAAATATAGAATAAAATCACAAGAATAATCATTTAGTCACGTGGGAGCTAGAAAATAAGGATATTTTCTTACCTCCAAATGCGTTTATGAGTGATCTGGTTCAGTTTTATATCTGGAGGATGCAAGCATTTTTAGGTTACAGTGTACAATTTTCCCCTCTTATCTGACTTAGGTTTGACTGCTATAAATATCACATCTACAGAATTAGGGAATTATGAAAGTTCATAATTAAATTAATTTCAATTTTAGGCTTTAATTTTAAAGCTCATGATTTTGTAAGTCTAGGGGCTAATCCACAATCTTTCTTCTGGCCACACAAAATCAGGCTTTGTGCTTCCAAAGGGGGCAACAATGTTGAGGTGAAACGTACTGCATAGGCTTATGTTTGAACCCTTGGTCCAGAGCTGATCTGATGGTACTGTTTGGGGAGGTTGAGGAGGCTTTAGAAGGCAGAGCCTTGCTAGAGGAAGGACATCACTGGGGCAGCTTTTGAGAATCCATAGCTTTGCCTTAGCTCTAGTTCATACTGTGCTTTGTGTTTGAGGTTGAAGATGTGAGCTCTCAGCTTCCTGCACCTGCTGCCATCATGTATCCCCACCATGACAGACTTATCCCTCTGGAGCCTTAAGCCAAAATAAACTCTTCCAAATCTGTTTTCTGTCAGGGGATTTGTTATATCAGCAGAAAAGAAACTAATATAAGTGCCAATCTTGGCATTATTTTCTACTCCAGCTACTGTTCAATGAGTTAAGTTCTGTGCATTTTGTATATATTGTTGTTCTTTAATTTTTGTGGCACCTCTGAATTGTAGTTATTTGCATTCTATATAAGACACTGACTCCCATTTAAGTTTCTTACTGAACATTAAGTCATAATCACAGTGATTGTGTTATTATAGTAGACAGTGCAACAATGAAGTACTAAACAAGTACTAAACTAAGCCATTTCATCTTGCGGCCATCTTACAAGGTAAACAACAACGAAACTCCTATTAAATTGATGAGAAAACTAAACCCAGAAAGATCAGATAATGTGGCCAAGGTCTTGGATTGACCAATAAGCGGTAGAGACAGGATTCAAACTCTATATCCCAAAACAGCCTGTTTTCAGAATCACGGTCACACGCCCCACTGTGGAAGAGTGGGTCTGGTACCATCTCATTGCTCTGTCACTCATCAATACTCTTGGTGCCATACCATATTGCATCTGATTTGGAAGAAAGAAGAAAAAAAAAAGTTTCACTAAAGTTGAGTGACTCGTCTGTGGTCACATGACAAGTGAGTGATTGATGATTATCATCTTGACTTCTAGTCTGATAATCTTCCTATTATTTACAACTAGTGAGAATAAAAAGAAAAATATCTTTCTAAGAACAAAAGCAAATGTGAGAAAGCCTCAGGGAAATCGATTTTAAGAACTTTGAAAAGACAAAATCCCCCTTACTTCTTTTCTCTGCCATTTATCTCATAGGACTCTGCCCTATAGGTGCTGACCAATGTCTGTCCTCAGAAATCAGCAACCTACATATGGAGGTGTCAGAGCACTGATGTGAACAAGGTAGCTCTGAGAGATGTATCTATTAATCCTGAACCCTTGGTATTCCAGAATTTGGTCAAATTTCAAGTGTGCCTGTGTTGTGTATGTGGGAAGTAGCATGCCAGTAGATGGGCACACCATTTTTTTTTTAATTAAAAATAGGCCCTGTGAGAAAAACTGACCTTAGAAGGTATAATAACTGGTTATATGTTAACTTGGCTAGCTCACAGTACCGTCATTTAATCAAAATGTTTTTGTTTTTCTTTTTCTGTGTTGAGGCAAGGGGCTCATGAATGCCATCAGAGTGCAATTTGCAGGAATTGGTTCTGTTCTTTCCATCATATGGATCCTGGAGATTGAACTCAGGTCATTGGGCCTAGTGGCAGGAGCCTTTACTCCCAAAGCCATCTAATCAAGTGATGTGGTCATTTTATAGTTGGAATGAACATCTGCAGTCAGTTGACCCTAAGTAAAGGTCATTTGACTCAGTGACTTGGCTGTGCCTCACTTACTGCTCCTGTAGCTTCCTGGGGAAGAGCCTCTGCTGCTACAGACTGCAGTTTGAACCATGACCTATAGATTTCAAGCTCACACAGAATTCCATGGACTGTGAATGATTTGTCTAAGTGAATCTCTGTAACTCCTCCTCCATCTGTTTGAGCTTCTTGTTCTTTTTCTCTGGAGAATTCTGACCAGTACAGGTCTTGACAAGACTGAAATGTGCTTTAAGAATTCTGGACATACAGGCACAGCTGGGATATGTTGGGAGAAAACTCAGCTCAATAGACATGACATTAACAAGTTCCACGCAGGCAAGGTATCAGAGCAAATGGCCTTCACTACCATTGGGTCACAGCAGGCGGTTACAACAATCTCAATCCAATCAGAACTGTGGTGTGTGGACTGTAAAACACAGGCTCAAACAGCCAAGAGTCCCTGTGGCAATAAAATGAGAGCTGAGGGTACAGAACAGGAACCCAGATTTCTGCGAATCAACAACATCAAAGACAGCATCCGAGAAGTATCAAGAGATCCCCCTGCCCAGTCAGTGCTGGTAGCTCCATGCTTCTCTTGTATCCCAGAGAACTCTGATAGACAAGAGCACCTCCCCTCTCTTATTTATATCAGCTCTGGGATCTGACATCAGTGCTTCCTGGGCTGACAAAGGCATATTTTAAATCCAATCTTCCCCTTGGAAAAACAAGTGCATCATCTCAAATTTCTCCTTTGTCATCATCTCCAGGAAACGCTTACCCTAGATGATTTCATGGGAAGCCAGGAAAAGAAGGTATGGGACAGGCACTTGATCTCACCTTGGCTTCTGAGGTGGGTTCCAAGAAGCACAGGCGATTCCCAAGTCCCTCGGCTGCCAGGCAGAACTTCCGCTGCTCCTTATGAACGTTTGCTATGCACTGGAGTACCACTTCATCCTCCTGTCAGAAGAGACACAGAGTGTGAGGGGTGGGTGCAACCTCCTACTCACCTAGGCTACATCATCTGGTTTCTGTGTAACATTTACATATAATTAGGTAAAGGGCATGTTTAAGTTTGGATCTAATCCCCAAGATATGATATTATGTAAAAAAAAATTTAAATCCAAAACACTTCTGGTACTAAGCATGTTGATTGGATAAAAGATTCTTAACCTGATCATGGAACGGACATGTTCTGTACATATACACCATGTGTTTCCCTTCTGGCATGTATAATCTACATGAAGATAGAACTTCAAGATTTGAGTGAATATAAAAAATAAGTCAAAGAAATCATTCCAAAAGTGAAGGGCACAGTAGGATGTGACTGAAGGGAACAGAAACTACAGAAGCAATCAGAGTGGGGGCAAGATGAGTGGAGAGAAAGTTCATGTCAGGCTGTGGAAGACGCAGCAAGTCTGGTTAGTGGGTGGGAATAAAGGAAGCACACGTGCCAAAGATGACAGATCAAAGGTGCCGAAGGCCACAGAAAGTGAATTTTACACAGAAAGTGAATTTTACACAGAAAGTGCATTTTCTGGGAAAAGAAGATTGAAAGAACCCTGGAGATCCAAACAGGACAGAGGAGTTGAAAGCCAAGCAGAAGAACATGTCTGAATTCTCAAGGAGGACTTCCCCCTACAGAGCATTCTCCAAAGCAACCCTCCTGAAATTCCAGAGGTCATCATGGCATTCTTCTTGCCAACGGCTGTGGGAACGAGGCATACCTCCATTGACAATAATAGAACACTTCATGCACAACAACTCTCACTCAGGTCGAAACATTGTCCTTTCCCATCGTCCATCCCTGCTCTCCAATCTGGCAATTATGGTTTCTCTCCCAGCCATTTCTCTTGACTTTGAACTTCCAATGTCAGAAAGATTTCCAGGTGCAGTCACATTAGAAGCCAGTTTAGAACAGAGCCTCCATCTTGCCATGAGCTCTGTTATCTTTGTCCTTCCCTCATGTCTCCCAGGCACTCAGTTTCTCTTAGAGAGTTGGAAAGGCACATTAAATAGAAGTGGACTTTCTTACTCTGTGTCCATAATATGCAAGTTAATTGAAAAAGAGTAAAATCTTCCCCTGAGGAATGTGAACATTTTGACTAGTAGCAGATGTCTATAGAGATGTGTGATGGTATCCCAAGATAGGTGAGGGGTTACAGAGCAGTGTGACTAGCCACAAGCTGGAGGTGCATGCAGAGGAGACTCAGGGCAAGAGGAGAGTGCCATGGTTATATTGCATCACTGAAATGTTACTGTCTATTATCAAATTGAGTCTGTCATCAATTTAGGACACTGAGCAGTGAAGTCAGACTTCATGGTCTTCATTTTTACCGAGTGGAAAGAAAAACACTTCAGAATATCACTGCTATTTAAATATGGGCTCAGTGAAATCTCTAGAGAGAATGAAAATTTTCCCCAGGTGGCTTTTCCCTCTAGCCTGTATATAAGCCAGAAGTGGTGTGATCTTTTTGAAGGACACTGGCAGCAGGGGAATGGACTTAGTTGTCAAAATGACTAAGAGGTTACTTGCATTGGGAAGCAGGGGTCATAGAAGTTAAACGGTCTGTAATATAGGAGATGGTCTTCCAAGTGCCTAATGCTTTCATGAAAAATGCTAATTACAGCCTGCACTAAAAAAAGTCGTTAACTATCTCCTATCTACACACATTTTACTGGTATAAAACAAACAACCCCCAAATAGGCACTTGAAAAAAAAATTGGAATATGGCTATAGACCAGATTTTCCATGAACCAATAAAATTAGGGAAATCTACTCTTTCTATCTGGGTCTTCAGGGGTCTCTTTCCAAGACCCCATTTCCCGTTCCTTTCCATCCCAATGTATATAAACCACTGCAATTTGACCTTGTTCTGGCTGCCTTAGGGCCTATTGGTCTTCTGAAAATTTTCCATTCTACACACGTGCCCATACATTCTTATAACACATGCTGCCAGGAAAGCATTAGATTAAAAGAACCCAACCTGAATAACCATTTGACCAAATAACCAATTGCTGAAAAGCAGCCTCACAGCACAACATGCCTCGGTAGGAAGTCAGTAGCAGCCCTATGCCATCACACATCTCGGTGGGCAGTGTAGGTGACATGCAGGTGACTGGGATTTTCAGCCACCGTCCTACTTCACTCTTTTCCATTCTGTCCAGAGCCATATGCTCAGTGCTGACCCGGCTGTAGACAGCAGCTGGCATGACTGTCCGCACCTGCTTTTGCTCCACACAGCAGCTATTATCTCCACAGACTCTGCACAGACAGACATCTGGAGCCACCAAGTGCTTGATGCTCAGACTTTTGCACTGAATTCCATTTTGAGTAATGGCATGAGTCACTTCTTTTACTAATAAAATACAGACCACAAGTCCCTCCAGTTGCCAGCCTTTCCTAATTTATCCAATTCCTGTACTAATCTGTACTCTTCCCTCCACCAATTTGTCTTTCTCCTGTTCTCACATTGCTCTACCTCACATCCAAGTACTGTCCAGGGGTACCATTTATAAAGAAGTCCCCTTATTTGGAGCTTGTACATTTCCCCACATCTTGCTTCTAGCACCCCAGAAGCTTGCATTCTTCTCACACACACCTCAATGCCAACTTGAGACCATTACTCTCCTACTCATGTGCAAAATCCTTTCCACTCGGGGGAACATAACTGCCACCCTCTAAAGCTTCTTTGGCAACCTGCCAGCATCCTAGTCACTTCTCCCATCATTTATTTGGCTTTTAAGAACAATCAGAAAACCCAATAAAGTTATTTGCATGAGTTCAACATACAGTTATTGACTACCTTCCAATGACAAAACATTCTGCTAGACTACTCTGAATATACAAAGTTTTATGAGGCAAGATCCATTAACGCTGTAATAATGGAACTGAGGGTGAAAGGCCAGTGTGTGGGATTTTTCTACTTCACTTTAACTGTCATCCCAAGTAACTTTAAGGTTTATGTGCATAATGAGCCTGAAGTGACACTGGAATTTAATTATTTCTACTGTGCTTAGTAAGACATTATCATAAACTTTTCTGGCCACAATTGAGAATGATCCATTTCGAAAATCCAAAGCTAAACTATTCCACTCTGAGAAGCCAGTCTTCGCTCCCTATGTTTGTTATTTGTTTTTGCATTCTCATTCCCTTCCTTTCAAGTCTTGCTCTACTTTATCAAGACTGTCAGTTTCTAGAAAACACCCCCAGCCAGTTATTTTATCCGCCTCAGGAAAGAGATTTTTTTTTTTACAGAAAAAATTACTCATATTATGTGTCAGTATAAATTTATAGGATTTCCTAGTAACATATTTTCAACTTTGATTTCACTGGAATCAAACTACAAATTTTTCCTCTTTGAAAGAGGAGAAGGAATCAAAACAGATGTCACTCAGGCAGTGTCCAATAACCACACCTCTTACCTCCATGAGAGAAAAGCAAAGGAGAGAGGAGCAAGTGCTTTTGGGGGTCCTCAGCAATGGTGGGGTCGGATAATAAGATCTTTAGGACACACACTCTGTCCTTCAGGGTGAGAGCTGTGACTCACATGTCCCCAGGACACAGAATCTTTGAGACCATGAAAATGTTCCCTGCCTCCTTTCAAATAAGTCCAACTCTGTTTCTTTTAGTACCCCCACAGTTGAGCTCTAGCTTCACCTCTCCCTCATTCCAACTGTCTTGTCTTCCAGGAAAATCAAGCCCAGAGACTCTAAAATGTTATTGTCAAAAGCCCTCCATTCTCCTATTTCACTCTATTCTGGCTATTCTGCCTTTCTTATGGGTACTTCCCATCTCCACATCCTCCTGCCTCTCCTAAAGATAGAGATTGCCTACAGAGTAGACCCTGTCATCAGCCTCCTTTGGAATTCTCAACCACCCCCAAGCTTTCAGTTTTACTCCTCAGAATGTGCTATGCAACTTATATCTTCACTGTGTGGTGACATCAATGTCAACACCACCCATGGCCCAGGTACTATTGTAGAGGAGGGGGCAGAAAAAATTGTAAGAGCAAGTGGTCTGGGAGGACCAGAGACAAACAGTCTCTTCACAACATGATAGGATTGCAGTACTCATGAACTCACAGCAACTGTAGTTATCTGAACAAGAACCATACAAAATCAACCCAGTCAACCTTCCAGCATGGAGCAGGAAGGGGTTCATGAACTCCTATCCCTATCTAAGGAGTTATCTACCATTGATGGCTTCTGGGGTAGGGGAGTTATTTTTCTGTAAGAGTGTGTGACCCATAGTCAGTTAACCATAGACCAGTAGATGACCATATACTCAGGACTATAAGGGGAAGGACAAATTAAGACTCAGTGGGTTGTTAAAAAAATAAAAGGATACAAAGTGGGTAAATCTGGGAAAAGTGGGGGGGGGAGTGAATATGTTAAAAATACATTATATTCTCACAGAATGAATAAAAATATTTTTAAAGGAGTGCTGTGGGATGGTCTGTATGTCAAATGTGTTGCTGATTGGTCAATGAATAAATCACTGATTGGCAGTGGCCAGGCAGGAAGTATAGGCGGGACTAACAGAGAGGAGAATTGAGAGAACAGGAAGCTGGGTGAGAGAGACACTGCCAGCCGCCATCAGGACAAGGAAGATGTAAAGTACCGGTAAGCCACAAGCCACGTGGCAAGGTATAGATTAATAGAAATGGATTAATTTAAGCTGTAAGAACAGTAAGCAAGAAGCCTGCCACGGCCATACAGTTTGTAACCAATATAAGTCTCTGTGTTTACTTGGTCGGGTCTGAGTGGCTGTGGGACTGGCAGGTGAGAGAGTTTGTCCTGACTGTGGGCCAGGCAGGAAAACATTAGCAACAAAGGAGGAACATGTAGCTCAGAGGTAACTCTCAGTTTAATTCTACGCAGCAAAGAAGAAAATGATGAAAGGGGAACCAAAATAATCAATTATACATATTTTATAATAGAGACTATGTGCTACCAAA